CATGCTTGACCTCTCTGCTTCTTTGCTCCTATTACCCACCACCTCCACTTGGAACGCTCTTCCCCTCATCTCACACCAAAGCTTACTAGGCAAGACTCGGCCCAGGGTCCCTGTCTACCCGGCGCTTTCCTGGATGCCAAACTGGAAGAGAGCCTGGCCCATTTCAAGTGTCCACACTGTTACATCCACATTGTGCTGCTGTGCTGGGGTGAGGCAGATATTAGGTTAGGATGGATGCCGGTGGTGCATCCATCCTAGGATGGATGCTAGGATGGAGTGTGTGGGGGAGGGGAACAGGCTGGTAAAGGAGGATGGGTTCTGCTCTGGGTGCATTGCTCTTGAGGAAGACGTAGTGGTTGAAAGATGAAGCCCTGGATTCAGGAGTCGCGAGCTGAAAAGTAGCAGCAGAAACAGCAGGGAGATGAAGGGGAGAGGAGAGCAATGGGCCGAGGGTGCAGAGATGCCAGTGTTTCAGGTTCAAAGTGCAGGCAAAGAATGAGGAGCCAGAGCTGGGCTAGTGAAGGGCATGAGGAGGGGACATTGTTGTCCCTGGGCCAGAGAGATGTCATTAGGGATGTGGGCCACCACCATCCAGGGAGATGATGACTGAAAAAAAAAGCCCTAATGTTTGGAAATAAGCAACCAACAGTGATTCCATGGTTGAGAGGGCGGTGGGAGAAGTGAATTGAGAGGGAAGGGGACGCCAATGGGGATGGAAGAGGGAAGGCAGCAGGAGCGGGCAGTGGGGCATTTTCTTGACCTGTAGAGGTTCAGTGGGTCTTCTCCTTGATGAACTGGGTGTCTTGGGCTATGAAACCAGGTCTAAAAATGTAGAACCCAGGAGGACGTAGGTTGGCCTCATAAACCCCGGAGGAATGGGTGGAGGTCTGGAGTGAGGGTGTGTAAATGATGGAAGGGTGGACACCCGGACCAGGGGAGCCACCTTCTCCTCCTGCACACCAGGGCTCAGCTCAGACACTGGGCAGGATCAGCAAATGGAGGGTCAAAACCCTAGGCCCATTACCCCAGGAGGCTATGCCTGACTTATTTCATCGAAGTCATGAATCAGGTTTGGGTCACTCTCTCCAGGTAGGTAGGTGAGTAAGGGCATGAGCTTGAGGATTTGGGTAGCCCAGGTCCATGTCTACCCCAGGTGAGTCACATGGACAGCAAGGGGCCGTGGGTTCCAACTGGGGGTGGACACTGGGAGTGGGTAGGAGGACCAGCAAACAGCGATTTCTCTTTACCCACTCTAATTGCATCTCAGGAGAGGGAAGCAGAGAGAGAGGTTGGCTGTGACTGACCTGCACTGTTCCTTGGGGAGACTATATAATGAGGGAGAACAGCAAAGCTAATGGTCTGGCAGACAACTGGGTAGGGGGGTACACGTTTTTTCTCCCAGGTGCTTATTGAAACACATTCCTGGGCCCACCCACAGATGCACTGAGCCAAAATTTCCTGAGTGGAACTATCCATGTTAACAAAGCTCTCCAGGTGGTTTATATGTTCATTATAGTGAAGGAAAAAACTTGGCCCATGCTTGGTTTGGAAACCTCTCAGGACCATCCCCTTCCAAGCTACACTGTAATGAGGGCTTCACAAACTAAAGGCAGGTGACTTCTCTACTAGACGCCTTAGCAGGGCCTTCTGGAGACAGTGCCTAGGGCTCAGGGACATACGTAAAAGCAGCAAATTGGGGTGACGAAGAAGGTAGGCAGGTGTGCAGGTGAGGGAACACGGGGCTGGATTACCAAGGAGCAGGTGTGCTGCTTGCTGCCTTTCTCTGCAGGCCTGCCCTACGCTTTGGGAAGGAGGGGTACAAACTGAGATATAGAAAAGACCTGCTCTCTGGTCTCAGCCTGGCCACTTATCCAGCTGTGTGACATGGGCAATTCTCTTGTGCAACATGGGTCTGCCTCCTCACCTGGAAAGAGGAAGCTGGGCTGGATCAATGATGGGCCACCTTGGCGGACACATCTGGGAATTCGACCAAGTAGTTATACTGGGGCCTTAATTCAGACCAACAAGGTCAGCAGCTCCAGGACTGGCCCCTGTCCCTGTGTCTTCAGTTCTCAGCCACTGAAGTACAGTGCTTTTGAGCTGGCATCTCTGATTCCCACCAGCTTAAAGGCTAGGGCAGAAGAGCTTGGTTTCTTTCCACCACCACTTACTTTCCTGTTCCATTTATTTCAAGGAGTACTGGCTGAGGACGTTTGCATGACTACTGATACCATAAGTACTTGGCCAGCATTTGAAGTGACAAATGAATTGAGTGTGGAATCAGGGATAGGCCGAGGTGACAGGAACAGCAACATTTTCAAGCAGGGCTAAATTTCAGAGACCTGTGCAAGGCTGTGCAATATGGTTGCTATAGAAAAATGGGGGAAGGGGGGTTAGACAAAAATCCTCACCTTAGCTGATGGCCCTGCAATTCTTTATGGCCAAATCAGAGGAAAACACAGAGTTGGTCACTAACAGAAAAAACAACAAAAAAAACCCCAGTTTTTTAAAAATATATATATAAAGTTCAGAAATATTTGAGGGCTTAAAGCAGCTGAGTTTGTAACTGAAGGAAAATCCCTTGGGGAGATAACTTTCAGTTTAAGTTTCTCCTTTATAAGACCGTGTTATCTCCAGCTCCTGATATCTGCACACAAAGTAGACAATTACTAAGAACAAAGTGCAGTCAGTTGAGCAAAAAATCCCAGTGTATTTACTTTCCTAAGTCTTCACTCTTTTGCAGTAAATTCATTCTTTGAACAAAGCATTGATCACCTCTAGTCAAGTTACTGATTTATGGGACCTGAATCGAAAGGAAGAAAATATAATACAATGGAAAAGGACGTGCACTTTGGAGTCTGAAGCACCCTAGTCTCGATTCCGGCTCTGCCCCTCCTGAGCTGCGTGAGCTTGGACACACTGACATAAGGCTGCCTCGTCTCTGGTGCTTCCTTCTGAGATGAGGATGACGAGGTCCATTCGCCTACTTCCCAGATATGCTGGAGAGACTAAATGGCTTATGTCTGATAGGGTGCCTGAAACGTAACAGGCCTCAAAAACCGGCAGTTCTAATACAAATATTGGTATTTTCCCAACACGTGTATAATGAAGTTTCATATAGGATCTGGCCTACTTCTCAACAGTGCGCTGAAGAACACATTGCTGTGCTCACTTCGCAGGTGTTGGAGGGGCTATCCTTGAACTGGAGCCCTGGTCATCTAACCCCAAGTCCTGTGCTCTTTCCACTGCATTCTCTCAACCAGAGATGGGCAGTGACATTCCACTAACTGCCATATCTGGAGGTGCCAGGGATGCTTGTCTCTGTCACGTGGGACATCTCTTAGGGGATGACCTGTGACTTAAGTCACAGACGAGGCACACGGTGGAAGTCCCATGTCAACAAAGAGTGACAAGTTCAGAACACCTCTGCACATCACCACTTCTAAACAAAACTCGCAATGGCTAAGCTCTATCTGGCTGAGATACTACTTTCTATAGAGAGAGAGAAACTTTAACTGTAAAAACTTTAACAGAACACCTCCATGGAAATTTTAAAAATGTATAATTTTATTAAGAACACCTCCAGCACTCAGAAACAGAGCGTAACAATGACTCCAGGCCTGAGGGCACAGCCCAGGCCCAGCATCTGCTTTATTTTTACTATGAACATTTACATTTAGAGGACCAGGGAATGTCACCTGTTCATGTAGCATGGAATTCCATTTTCACCAGTCTGAACGCACCAAATAATCGTGCACGAGAAGTCCTGTCCCGTCGGGAAGCTCCCTGTCCCACCGGACCCCGGCCAAGGCTGGCTGAGGAAGGATGCAGAGGATGGGCGGTTTTGACAGCTCAAAATAATAAATGAAAACTGAAAAATATTTTCAAGGGCACATGGAAATCAATTCATTAAAAAAAAGTAGGATTGCAGTTGAGAAATGGGCAAAAGGCATGCACATATACTCTATTTGCACACAGCTTTCCAAAAAACCTAGAAAACTCTGTGATTTCACTAGTGATCAAATATCTCTAACACAGTACCCCATTAAAAGGAGATACAGTTTTTGTCCATAAAATTAGCAAAAAAAAACTTCTCATTTTAGTGGCCCAACCAAATAGTGATGAGACGGTATTGGGCCGGGTGTGTTGATTAAGACGGACCTTTAGAAAAACAGTGTGGCAGCAAGACAGCCAGAGCCTTAAAAACATTCCGTGCCTAGGCCTCTATCCTAAAGAAATCCTCCACAGTTTAAGAGAAAAAGGTTTTTAAATAAATGATGAAAACCATCTAAATGGTCAACAAGAGTATAATGGTAGAGTATTTTATATTCTCCTGATGTATTATTCAGTTATTAAAAATAGGTTTATGAAGATCTGAAGATAAAGAGGGGAAACTCTTACACTGTAAAGTTAGAAAAAGAAGTGTATAAGGGAGACATCCACTGTCAAGTGGTTAGAAAACCCATTTATTAGAAGAAACCAAATCTCTAACACAAGTTGTCTCTGAGTGATGGGATCACGGGTAGCCAGTTTTCCATCTTTCTGCTTTTCTGCATGTGTTTTTCCAGGTATTTCTGTTACCCCCAAATATATACACAACTTAAGGAATACACTTGGACTTTGGGGCTGAGAGCAAACTTTGCCCAATGACCCTGAATTTATCTGCTTCTCCCTGAATTTTTTCACATCTGCAGAGTCACCAAATATATTCAAGACTACAGAAAAGTACCTCAAAGTCAAACGAGGTGAGTGCCAAGAGAGGCCAAGGAGAAAAATAACAGGAGATCAATAGGCAAAAGAATGAGAAACATTTGCTAGCAAAAAAAAAACAAAAAAAAACCCACACAAACAAAAACTCTCCTGGAACATTTCCAATCAGTCCCATCCTCCTGGGCTCTGCAGGGAAATGGCGGGGCCGAATGACCTAGGATAACACGGTAACAGAGCAGATCTGATACCAGATCTGAGATAAGCTCCCTCACACAGCGTGTGGGGCGGGCTGGCGAGCCAGCCGGCCCTCGGAAGCTCCCGGACACCATGGAGTGGCCACGTCCTTTGCACGCCTTTGATCTTTCCCCCACGTTGACACATTGCCAGGGGGCTGAGCCACACTCAGGTCTGTAGGCAAAATATGAGACAAGACAGAGCTCCGGACTCATGAGCACCTCACAGCTGGATCTCTAGAAATCTAAATCGTCTTGGCCAAAGCCATCTGTCCTGTCCATGGTGAGGCTTCTAAGCCTCCTTTCTGCCCCAGAGAGACGTTTAACCACCTTCTCAGCTTCTATGTCAGAGCCTTGGCCTGCTCCGGGCTCAGGGGTCAGACCTTCACCGGTCCCTCGCTCTGGAGTCCTGGAGCCCGAGGAGGGCCCTTCTTGCTCAGAGGTGGAGCTTTCTGGATACATGTCTGTGACTTTTCTCTCTGAACCAGGGACTCCCTTGGGCTCATCGCTAAAGGTCCTCATACCTCCATTCCAAGGCTCCTCTTCGGAGCCTTTCTGAGAGACCTGAGAGCAGTTTCCTAGAGATGATGTTCTGGACGAGGAGAGGCCTGTTTTCTGGCCTGTTTGGCCGCGGGTGTCTCCACCTGTGGCAGGGGCTGGTGGGGGCCTCCTCTCTTGGTCTGGGCTGCTGTGTCCAGAAGCCTTGCCCGACTTGCCCCGCCTCGGGCCAGCCTGTTTCTCACCTTGACTTTCTCTTCTCCGAGTTGGCTGTCCCTCTCCTTCGGTTTTCTGGACCTCTACGGTGTCGGCACCATCATTCTGTCCACCTGGACTTCGGGCCCCAGAGCCCTCCTCTGGGTCCCCTTCCCTGCGCCCCATGCCCCACTCCCCCGCTTCCGCCGCCTCTGGGTGGCAGCCTGCATGGGGGCCTGTGTTCCCTCCTCTCTTCTGAGCAGCTGCATCTTCCTCTGCTCCTCCTGGATCTTCGCCGCTGCTGAGGGTCTGGCTGCCCTCATCCTCATCGCCCTCCTTGGCCCCGGCACCCCAGCCTAACTCTGGCTCCAGACCTCCATCAGCTCCCTGGACAGTCCCAGTCCCCGAGGGGTCCCTCTGATGCAGCTCCACCCCTGTCTTCTTGGGGGTCATGCCTGCTGTCTCCCCACTAGCACACCCTCCTTTTTTCTTCTGCAGAATTTGCTGCAGGTCAAAGGCCTCTTTGATAGGTAGACTGGCTATGCCCACTGTGTCCTTTGGGGATGCCAATATCACTTTCTTCCTCAGGCAGGCCTCGCAGGGACAGAACTCCTCCTCCTTGGCCTTGCCATCCAGCTGGGTCCCCAGAGCTCCACTGAGGTTTGGCACGTCCTCCAGGGAGAGGGAGGGGGTGCCCGGGGCCCAGGTCCGCTCTGAGAAGGCTGAGAGGTTACGCAGGCCCCGGAGGCGATGCCTGCGCTGCTCTGTCTGCTGGGATGTCTCCCACCTGAGGGCTACCCTGGGAGGCCCAGGTGCCCTCCTCCCAGCCCGGCTCTGGATCTTTTGCAGCTCCTTTACGGTGCTGTCTTGAAGCCGCTGGCCAACATCCTGCTGCAGCTCAGCCACCATCTGGTCCAGCAGGCTGTGGTCCTGCAGGCTCCAGCGGGCTCGGAGCGAGGCCGTGGCGCTGGCCAGGTGGGCCATGAAGGCCTTCTCCATCTTCCTCAGCAGACTGGACACCCAGAGGGGGTCAGGGTCTAGAGATACCCTGTGAGCCACAGAAGAGCCCTTCTCTCCAGCCTGCTGGCCGGACTTGGCCTGGGTTTCCTCGTGGCTTGTCCCAGTGGCTCTGGGCAGCTCCTCCAAACAGGGTTCAGTGTTGGGACCACTTTGACTCCCAGTGGCATTTGAGTCCCTCTCAACGAGGCTCCCAAGGGTCTCTGCCGTTGTCTCTCCCCTCCCTGCAGGGCGCAGCATGGCAGAGACAAGGTCTCTTCCTGCTTCCTCTTCCTGCACACTCTCATCGTCCCGTGCACCCTCCTCTTCCTGAGACCTAGCTCCTGATAATTCCTGTCCCACGGCCCTTTTCTCTTCTGGAAATCCACTGACAGCTTCCCATTGCAATTCTGCTCTTTCTTCTTCTTCTATTATTTTTGCTAACTGCACTGCCTCTTCTTGCATTGTGCTCTCAACTACTTGGTCCAGGTTGCCACCCAGCCTGTGCTCCCCACTGCTCCCCTCGGCCTTGCCCTTCCTGGTGGCACAGGCCCGTGCTTGAGAACTTGAGGAGGCCATGCAACCACTCAGCTGCTGCCTTCCCAGTTCCTCTGGGTTCTCTGAGGTTCTGGAATCAGGCCTCTGGTGGAGGATTTTCGAGGGCAGGTCTATCCTCTCAGAGACCAGGGCACAGTCCACAGCACAGGGTCCCCTGCCTTCCCCCGAGCCTCCAGAACCACTTCCGACATCCACACCAGAAGAGGATGTTGGTGTGAAGTTCTCAGTCACAGCCTGGGACCTGAGGCCTGGCAGAGCCTGGCACCTGCTGAACTCCCGGAGGCCTGAGTCCTGCTCACCTGGCCTGAGGCCACACCTGGGCCACAAGGCCTGGAAGGTGCTCAGGAGCTCCTTGTACCGAGGAGAGTCTGCGAACCTCACTTTGCTGGTGGAAGACCCAAGATCTTCATCGAAGAAGTGGAGCTTGGTGAGACACATGATGAGGGCCTGGGCGGAGTGGCTGAGCCTTCTGCCCGCCGAGCCCGACACTTCAGGCAGGCTGCCGGCCTGGCCCTGCCTGGAGCCCAGCAGCGCTTTCATGACCTGTACAGAGGCAGAGACCCTGTGGGGAAGCACACGCTGGCCCACAGCACAGTCCCCAGCTGCCACTTCACCTGCTCTGGCCTCCACGGGGGCTTCTGAAACTCCGCTGTGAGGAAGACCCTCTCCTGGCTGGGGACCAGCATCACCAGTCACTGGGAGGGGTCCCTCTGGTTCTGCTTTCTCACTGGTTGCCCTTTCCAGGGATGGGTGTCTGGCCTGAGTTGGCTCCTCCAGGCTTTTGGGGGAATGTCTGTCTGCGAGGCCGTCCCTAGCCATATCCAGCCTGTCATCCACTGTCTCATACTTCACAGGCTCGGGCTCCTCCGGGATGTTGCTCAGCCACTCACGGACCACAGCTTCTGGAGAGGCTCGGGGCAGGGCACCCAGTGTCACACTGTCCTTGTCCTCTTGCTCCTCCAGACCGTCCCCTCCACCAGCAGCCTGACCCTGGCACATCCTCCCGGGCCTGGCACCCAGGCTGCCCCTTCTCGCTGCCCTGACTGCTCTACGAGGGCCCCCTGACTGAGAGCCGGGGGGGCGTGGGCACTGCGCATCAAGCTGCTCCTCTCCCAGGGCGGTGCCCGCTGGCCCTGAAGCTGCGCTGTGGTCTCTGTTGCTGCTATGTGGGAGACCATGTTTTTTGACAGAGGACTGCGCCCTGGGGGGAGTGGGACAGTGCCTGCTGCACACCGGGAGGGCCTCAGAGACGGGCTCCGGGCTGCCCTGAGGCTGGGCGTGCATCTCCACGCAGGGGGTCCTGCAGACCCCAGATATGCCCGTTTCTGAGTAGCAGCCCTCTTGCTGGGACCTTGACTTCCCCACCTTGTGCTGTCCAACTGGCAGAGGCGAAAGCCGGGAGGGCTTGGGGACATCACCCCCCACATTTTCACCCTGGGCGTTGGCTTGGGAGCTGAGAGAGTCCCATGAATTGCAAGGCGAGTGCGCCCTGAACTCAGGGTTCCCTTTTGTCTCAGTAAAGGGAGAGTGGGCAGGGCAGAGGTCCAGAGCGCAGTCTGAATCGCTCACAGCAGTGAGGGGGGCACTGCCGACCCCCTGTGCATCCTGGGAATGAAGAGAGGGAGAGCGGGGAAGCTCTGGGTTCTGGGACCCTGGGTTTCTGGCGCTAGATGAGCTTCCCGGAAAGCGTGGTGCTGGGCTGGCTGGGAAGCCCCTGCCTGCACTGGGAGGCCCCTGTGTTTGCCTGCACACAGGTGAGTCGAGTGGGCAGTGGGTGTCCCTTCGGCTGCCGTGCTGTCTGAGGTGGCCTCTCTGGGGCCCGCGGCCAAGCCCAGAAATGCTGGGTGAGGCCACAGCACTAGCTCTGCTCTCCTGCTTTCTTCTCCTGTCTGTGGCTGAGATGCGGGGAGAAGACAGGGAACAACCTTCTGCAATATCACTAGAGCCGAAACAACCTGAAGCCAGGGGCTGTCTCGTCCCACATGCATCCCTGGCCTGCATGTGCCCGGGGCCTGGTATGTTCCCCTCCGCCCATGGGTCCTCATTCCCCAAAGATGAGAGGTTCATGGTGGAGGAACAGGGGCCTCCCGCACGGGTGGCCTTCCGTGGGGAAGTCATGGCCCTGGTCTTGCTGCGGCGGCCCTGGTGCCGCTCACCCCTTTCACTGGACTCCTCATGAGACCCGGCACTGGCTGAGGAGTCAGAGAGAGCGCCTGTCACACGCTGGGTCCTGGGTTTCAGGCAGCGGGGGTCCCTGCTGCCCAGCCCTCCTCCCTCTGGACCTGGGCCCCCACCGGCCTGGGGAGTACCACCAGCTGCCTGTCCTGGTCCTTTCTGGGAGGTGGCCCTGGAGGACAGATGCAGGTCGCAGCTGCCCGTGCTGCCCTCTGGGGACCGGGAGCAGCAGGAGGAGTTTGGCTCTGAGCCTTCGGGGGGTCTGTCACTGGAGGCAGGGCTGACACTCTCCTTGCTGCTGCTTTTCCTGCCAGCAACCCCTCGGCTCCAGCGGCCCCTGGAATGGGCATGGGGGGCTGGCCTGGCCCTACTCTGAGCTGCTGTCCCCTCTCCCTGGGCGGCGTACAGGGGGTTCATCCAGATCTCATATCTGGACCCTGGCTGCCACCTGCCTCGTTCGACGGCTTCCTTGCATGCTGCCTCTTGGGTCCCCAGTGCTTGTGTCCCAGGCTCTGAGGAGCCCCCAGGGTGGCCTTCCCCACTGGCTGCTGTGAGGGCACCGGCCCTGCTGACCCTCCTGGACCACAGGAGCATGTCGTTGCCCAGTAGGTGGAAGCGGACTTTCATCTCCACAGACAGGCTGCCGTCCTCATTCACGTGCACTTTCTTCTCAACGTCATCACTGGCCACCAGCGGGCCGAGCTGGGCAGGCGTGTCCTGAGGGTGTGTGTCAGGATCAGGACCCATCCAGGCATGGTGCAGGGACACCCGGGGACCGCTGAGGCCAGACCCTTCCAACAGCGAGGGAAACTGCCGAGGCCCGCTGCCCGACCTGGATCTCGAGTGGATCACACTCTGCCTGGCCTTTGGGCCCCAGCTCCCTGGCACACAAGGAAGAGTAAGAAGAAAGAGGAAAAGTCAGTGAGCTACTTGGGGGAGCTTCAGGACAGGAGAAAAAGGCTGGTCATGAGCCTAAACACCCGCGTCACCTCCAAAACCACGCAGTAAGGGCAGGAACCACTCTGGGACAAATATCCACAGTTGGCTGTTTATGAACCAGCAGAGCAAAGTGAGAGGAACTTGAAGCCTGAATTGAGTCTGAACTCTGACATTTCCCACCTGTGGAGCTTTGGGCAGGGCCTCTTTTCTGAGCTGTAAAATAAAAATAACGGTATCTATTTGGAAATGCAAGGCCATGTATCTAAAACTTCCTAAAAAAAAGAAAAGTAACTTCCTGTAGAGTCACTAGCACAGAGTGGGTTCTTGATGGCAGCAGAGGCGGCGGGCAGGGCAGCAGTGCCCAGAGCAGACTCCTAGCCCTGCTCACGCCCACCCCCAGCACAGGAAGCAAAATCAATAAGCTGCTGCACACGCACCTGATCATAAACTGTAAAATGCTTTGCAGTTATTAGTGGTGATTTATCATCCTGATACTCATCAAGCTTTGGGGTTGATAAATGATTGCAAGGATGGACCCGGACACAGGATAGCAGGTCCTGGTAGTCAAGCTTGCAGCCCATGAAAAAGAGAAGAAGGGCTACCTGGGGTAGAAAAAAATGACCTCAAGAAAGAACGAAGACCCCTAATACTGTCTCATTTTGTCTCCTTAGCTAGTATTTGACGAGAGGGAGGAGCTAGTGGAGAGTGAGCCTGTGGTCAGCAACAGAATGGACACCCTGAGTCCGTCTGAGCACGAGGAAGTTTCTTGAAGCTCTGCTCCTTCATAAGCCCTGAATGAGACCAGGGGCTCCCTCAGCTGTGGCTGACGGGGCCCTGGATCCCCAGCACCTGGCATGCAGCAATCACTGACACCACTATTGTTGTTTCCTAACAGCTTTGCACAGAGGATAAGATTTTGTCTACTTGCCCAAGTTTGCCCATTGTCATTCCAATAATTTTGCTGAAACTCTTATTCTATGGTTGTTAATTGTGCTTTTAAAGTAAAGTGTTTTTTTTTAAATAACAAATCCTAAACTCTGGCACATAGTAGGCTTTTGGATGGAAATGTGGTTGGATGTTTAGGATGATGGGTTGGATGAATGATCGATGGTTATCTTTAAGGTTAGGATCATTTGGCCCCACTGCTGTCTAAGAGAATCATGACTCTTGAAAGATGTAAATGCCACATGGCCCTGCTCCTTAATAAAGCTTGTATTAGATCCTAGAAACTTAGAGTTCAAGATCTCCTGATCCCTATTCTCTAAGTACCAGACTCTCCTCTCTCCTACCCCAGATGTTCAACCCATGAAGGCCGGTGGTGATGAGAAGAGGCAAGACAGACCCCAAACAGCTGGCTGCTCAAGAATTGGAACCAAAGACAGGTTTCCTGAGTTATCTAGAAAGAATATCTTCCCACCTCTTCTGAACCACCATCCCATGCACATAACATTGGGGAAACCCAAAAACCAGCTCACCATTTTTGCTCCGTGAAGTCTGCCCCGATAAGGTCTCAGTCCCACTTCTCACACCTTCTGTTGCTAGAGGTCTGAAGGACTCAGGACCAGCACACACCAGCACCGGGGGGCTGTGCAGCAGAGCCTTCAGAGAGTCCACCTGAAGAAGGAGGGTGTGAGTCAGGAGGCCTGGTCTGCAGACCCTCCCTTCTGCTTGGGAAGACACAGTAGAGGAAGCATCCACTGGCTCTGGCCCTGTCTGTCCATCTCATCCCAAATTTCTGACCCAATTGCCATAATACCATAACCATTTTGGGACTCAGGTCCTATTACTGTGATCTTCCTCCCCAACTACACCCTCCTGGTGCGAGGCCTGTGGTTTAGGGGTTATTCCGGAGGCCTGAGGTGCAAAAGACTTCATGAAGCCTTTGGTCTGCTTCCCTGCTCACACTCGCACCCTCCAGGACAGGCATTTTTCTTTTAAAGTAAGCAGCTTCCACAGGGAGATCTGATCCACTATCTCACCCTTTGTCCAAGCAGGTCCTCTTCTGAGTTTGATCCATATTTTCCAGTGTAATCTGGACCCGTTGCCTCTGCTTCTGCCCCTAGTGGAGCGGAGAAGGGCGAGGCACTGTTCTCTGCACCAGTGGCCCTTCCATCCCAGCCTCCTCCAGGGGTTCTCTAAGCTCCTGCCCAGAGGCTGGTCACAGCCCTGCACACACACACACACACACACCAGCCAGCAGGATGTCCGGGGCTGAGTGGAGCAGGAGACATCAGTGCTCAGTTGTGTTCCAGAAAATAGGTTCCTGCTTTCAAAAAAATCTCACCTGGCCCCGAGGCCCCTGCCTCTGTAAGGGTATGCCCTATTTATAGCATTACGTCATAATGAGCACTGTTGGGGACTACAGTCCCAACAGTCCCATCTTTAAAGTGCTGAATCTGTTCTTTTTCATTTTCTCAAATTAGAAGGGTATGTTTCATTAACAAGGGATGGAAAAGAGAGAAAACGACCACTTGCATCTTCTCCCCAAATGACACTAAGTCTGCCGTCCACCAGATCTTTCAACCTGTTTAATTAAAAGTTTGTTTCAAACAACCAGGTCCATTCCTCCTTCGATTTAGATCTCTGGTCCGTTGCAAAACTGCAAATGTGACCAAGTGTATCAATTTATAGATGCAGCCATGCTTCTAGAGAACCAGACTTTTCCAAGGAAGAAATAGAATTGAAGGCTCAGTGATGCTCCCTTTGTAGAAAGAGCTGGGGGTCTGGGACCCGTGGAAACAAAAGAACATTGTTGAGAGTTTCCATCCAACTGAGGACCCGCAAATGAATAATCGTGAGACAGCCTGTGCCAGGAAGCAATGTGGCCACTGTGTTTACAAAAATGCTGATAGCTCTGCAGTAAGTCTATCTAAAAGTATGATAATATTTTCTCCAATTAATTTATATTGCACCCGCTCTCTCCCTCTCACCCCACCCACTGAACTGTAGCCAATTGACCGCAGGCAGGGACCTGGTCTTATTCGTCTGTAAAATCTGCATGCAGCACAGGCTGCTACATAGCAAATGCACCACAATTTGACAAGGTTCTTCCATCACAACTCTGAAATCACTGAGGCTGGCCCTGTCATTTGCCAGCCATACAGCTACGAGCAAATGACTTGACCTCTTTGCCTCATTTTTCTTAGCTCTACACATGGTACAATATTAATTGCCTCATGGGTTTGTGTGGCAGAGGCTTATGCCCTAGGTCTGTCGAGGTCAATTCCACTTTTTCCAGTGCACTTTCCAGGACCCCAGGGCTTAGAAAGCCCTAAACAGGTTTCAGGAGATGGAAGCTCAGGCAGCAGTGCCAGGCCCGGAGCCCCAACGTCCCTGCTCCTGCCTGTCGAGGTTGAAATGCGGGAATTCCCCAGTCTCAGCTGTACAGGTCTGGACTCCGAGACTGAGAAGTCTGCTCAAACTCAGTAATCACAGCGGCTGCAGGCAGGGGTAGCAGCTTCCCTGCAGAATGCTGGGGGCCATTCCCGCAAACCCAGCATTCATGCCTCCACATGTCCAAAGGAAGCCCCCGAACGCCCTGTGTTAAACTGCTTTCTGTACAAGGCACTGAGAGCAGTTTCTATTTCCTGCACCGAACTCTCTCCGTAATAGATTAAATAGTAGGAGAATTGGATGAGAAAAGAATGAAAGCATGCAAAGCTATGTCTGGGCTCACTAAGTGCTCGCTATATGGTAGCTAAAAATATGAATAAGGATTGTTTGATTAACTGACTCAGTGTCTCCACTCTACCCACCTTTAATCGGTAGCAGGGCAGGGCAACCTGTGCCATTTTTAAAGGATAACCTCCCCATTCCATCCAAGCTTTTTGACCTGACATCCAGAGGACCTTTTAAGGAAAATGCCACACCCTGCCCGACAGCCTACCTTTTTCCCGCTGGTTGTGTACACCTGCCGCACAGGAAAGTGCAGAAGGTCCGAGGCTTTGCTGAGAAAGGCCGACAGGCTCCTGGTGTTTCTATGACTGAGCACCACTGTCTGCTGGAATCGAGGGTCCCCATTCTTAACCAGCATTATCTTCTTTGGGGCTTTAGGATTCTTCCTGGAAGAGGATATCCCTGGGGCCTCGCCCTGGCCTTCAACATCTCGAGACTGCTGAGTAGAGGGGCGTCCCCCTTGTGGCCGGCCTGGCCCGCTGGAGGTCTTAGGGGGCTTCTTATCGGAACAGAGGTAGCACCCACCATCCTCCAGCTGCTCCAGGGCACTGAGGCCGTGCAGGCCCCGGGGCGTGGTGACAGAGCGTACCCCGAAGGAGAGAGGCACGCGTTGGGAGAGCTCATCCATCAGTGTCCCGAAGCTCTTGAAGGTGCGTTGGTGGACAGCTAGACGAACCCCAGAAAATTGGGGATCCCCTCGCTTGAGGAAAGTTATCTTCTTGGCTGGAGTGACCTGGGTGACAGAGGGGGTCCGGGCCATGGAAGGCAGGAGGCACTCACGGTAGCTGGGGGCCTGGGCATCCCTCGGGGTGCTGTTCATGGCGTGGAGGCCTGGGCGGCTGAAACCAATGGAAGGAGGAGGGTCAGAGAGCAGCCAAGAGATTCCTCATTTCCTCCCAGCTCTTCATTACAGAGGTGTTCCCTGCCCACTCCAAATTTGGTCCACTCAGCTCTGGAGAGGCAGATTCATCCATGTTAATGGAACAGAAGGGATGCCCAAAGGTTTGGCATCAGACAGTTCTGAGTTCACATTCTATCTTACGCCATATGACCCAGGAGGTGAATGACATGCTCTGTGTTTGGAAGACGCACCTGCCAAACGCGGCCATACTCACTCTGCAGAGTGGTTGTAATGCATAAACGGGTCTGTGCATATGCAGTTCTGGGCACAGAGCAAGCACCAATACCTCTCAATTCCTTTTCCTCCTCTTGCTGTTTCTCTTACCCATTTCTACCACCTGAGCTCCTTTGAACACCTTAGGGTTTATTTCCTAAAGAGATGAGTAGATAAAGGGAAGACCATGGAATGCAAGTGCAAGAACACAGGGTGGGCAGTCAGGAGGCTGGGGCCCCTTGCCCACTGTCTCTCTTAGTGCCAAGACTGATATGTGGCCCTGGGGGATGCCCAGGTCTCTGGACTTGCATCCTTAGACTACGAGGTGAGAGGGCTGAAGGAGAATCCCTCAGTCTCAAACCCTTCAGGGACCAAAGTGCAGACAAGGACACTTGTAACCCAAAGAGGATGTTGTGTGCTTTCTCCACTGTATGGTGATGTTTGCTTTCATATGAAAAAAATGCTCCTCCTGCACCCCTCCAAAGTCTTTGGAAGATGCCTAGTGTACCCTGCCAAAGAGTCCCCCAACCTGTTCCCATTGACATGGGAGATTGGGGGTTCAGGCCAGCCACGGTTGGGTCGAGGTCATTCATCCAGCTCTTCATTTCTATTCCCATTATGGTGGAGCTCACTGCTGCACCTGGGACTCTTGCAGAAGCCTGACTCTGTGCAGGCCACCAAGTCATGCTCTGTTCTGTGTATCTGCTGGCCAAGTTGTCCTGAAATCCATTTTTCCCCCAGATAATTCCTTTGCTCCAAGCCCTTCAAGTGGTTCCCACTGTCTATAGAAAAAGTCCAGGCTCCTTATCCCACAATTAAAGGCCTCTCTGTTCTGCTCCTGTGCACCCCCTAAGCCTCAGCTCCTGCTCCTTCTTGTGGGCATTCTCCACTCCAATGAGGCTGCCTGGCGCAAGCTCCCCTGCATGGCGACCCCCATCCTTCCGTACCCTGCCTCGGCTCTCCTCCTTCATGAGCCTTCTGCAGCCCCCAAGTCTGGGGCAACCCCCACTTTCAGCATGGTTCACTGACATTTCCCACATCCTGAGCTCTATCCTTCCTGGTCAACTACCCCCAGGCACGGGAGGCAGAACCTGTGCTCCTGGGGCACCGGCCCCAAGCTTGGCACACAGCAGGGGCCCAGGAAATCCATACTGATTAATAAAGCGGATATTTCTCAGAGCCGCATAACAGAGCCGGGGCCTGTCAATAAGTGGACCCTTGAGTAATGATGATCAGGGAAGGAGTTGTCCCTGCTCCCGTGCAGTTCAGACCACGCAGGACCCTCATTAACAAGCATGCTCACTGCAGGTGACCATGGCCTTCCCTGCCACAGCCCTGCCCCCTGCTTACAGTTCCTCCAGCACCCGCATCTCCCTTCCTTACCTCGCCTTCACATTTACCCCATTCCTCTTAGGGGAAGGGATTGTCCTCTCATTTTTCAAAATCTTCATACACTGCTGGGGGGGGGGGGCTGGGATGGGAGTAAAAGACAGAAAACTGTACTTGAACAATAATTAAACTTAAAAAAATCTTCGTACACAAAGAGGCCTTGTAATCCTCTCTCATCTCTGCACAAACTTTATAATTAGCTTCTTCAGCCTCCTCCCTCCCAACTAATCCCTTTAAGCTGCCTTTTCAGACCTCCCACTAACAGCAGCAGCTGCCTGTGCTGCTCTTCCACGTGCCTTCCTGAAGGGCTTACTTTTCTCCCTGCTTGATTTTCATTTTCACTTGTGACAATGAGCATCCTTCTTGGTCCTCCCCGAAGAACTAAGAGAAAAACTAAGGGACACTGGGGCATTCAGTGACGCTGGGGAACACGGTGAGGGAGGCACAGTGACACCGGGGGGACGAAGCAACACTGTGTCCCTGACAATCACTATATTCCCCCCCATCACTGTGTCTCCTAATGTTGCTGTGTCCTTTAATGTCATCATGATCCCCAGTGTCACATGACCCCCAGTGTCCCTGTGTCTCCCAGCACCCCCAGGACCCCAGCATCCCTGATGCCTCCAGGGTTTCTGCTCCTTGCAGCCCATTTTCGGGTGGAGAGGATCAATCTCTCTAGAGCCTCTCCGATAGCAGGTCTGCAGGGCGAAGGGGAGCGTTCAAGGGCAAAGCAGGAACCTGGTCTGAAGCGAAGGCAAAGGCCATTTTGCTGTTCACTGAGGACCCAGGCAAAACATAACATCACACAACACATGCTCAAGTGGCCATCTATCCCCTTCTGGCGCTCTTCTAGAAAGTAACATCTTTCTGGATTGGAATTCTCTATCTCCAAAAGTCCAAAACTGGACTTTTGAAATTAAAAATGTCTCCTGAGGAATTCTAAGTACCCAAAATCAGGCTGATAGCAGCCAGGAGCCACCACGAAGGCTCTCTCTCAACACAAGGCCAAGCACATGGCCCCAAGAGAAGCTGCTTGGTCACCTCATTGCTAAATGCATCTGCACTCATACAACTGACAAGATCCTGCATTGACTTTGGGTGGCTGGTGCACCTGCACACACACATACAGGGACACTCACGCGTATGCACAAGAATTAGAAAAAATTTAGGACATAGAGGAAGGAGCTGGAGGATCAAAGATGGCCTGGGTGCATCAACTGTGGAAGGTGAGGGAGTTCAAGGCTGTAAGATCACCCTGCTCCTCATGGGAGGATGGGGCAGCAGCTTGCTCTTCAGCTTCATCACTAGAAACCAACAGGCTCAACTTCAGCCCCACGACGAGTCCTGAGCAGTATGACCTCCTCTTGTCATGTGGAAGGGAGAAGCCCATTGACCTTCTTTGTCAAAGAGGCCAAATACGCTTCTCATCCTTTCACTCTCAAAACAGGTCATTCAAGTATTCACTCACTCATTCATTTACTTGTTTGGGTGCCACACAATAATTTCTGAGCAGCTATTATGTACCAGGCTCTACGTTGGATCCTGGAGATGCAAAGATTACTGAGACATAGCACCCATCTTCTAAAACTTCACATTCTTATGTGACAAATAGGTACATTATTAAAAGGTAGCGTAAGAAATGGTCTGAGATATAAATATAAAAATAGAAATAGAGATATAATATATACAGGACATGACTGAAAGCAAATTGAGAGGAATGGCAAGTCAGGGAAGACTTCCTGCAGGAGGTGGCAGAAGCAGAGACCTAAAGGACAATTCTGGGATTAGCCAGAGAAGGAAGAAGTCAGGACCAGCGTGGGAAATAGGTATGGCCTGGGTGCCAACTCTGACAGAGTGGGGTGGGTTGGAAGGATGGGAGAAAAAGGTACCCAGGCTCCCTGTACGCTGTGATCAGCCAGCAGTGCTGCCATAGCATTGGAGCAGAGGAGGACCATGCAGGTGCCAGGTATCTGCTGTCCTTGCTCTACTCGGGGTGTTCAGGATGGGGACATATATGCAAAAGGGCAGCAGAGGATCCAAGTGTGGGCGTTCAATAAGGGCCTTCTCAATGGATGTCACCCTGATATTTTAGGAGATGCCTGGCAGCGGCAGGGAGGATTGGGCCTTGGAGAACGGGGAAAGTTATTGGTGAATGAGGACACTTGTAGCGGAAGGAAGACCAGGGGGACTGATCTGGCAGAGGCTGAGCAGAAGCCACCAGTGGGGTTGGGCGACCAACCAATGGGCCAGTGGGAAGGGGCTGTGGGCGAGAATGAAGTACAGCATGGTCCTGGGGTTTGAGCCTCTGGACCTGGGTGCGAGGTGGCACTTGCTCCTCACCCAGCAGGGCAGTGGAGTGGGGAAGAGTTCTGGAGGCAGGCATGAGGGTGTCGTGGGAAAGGCCCCCTCTCTGTAGGGGTGGGCACACACACATGAGTGTATCTGACACAGAGTTGTTAAGGGGGTTGATGAATGTCCCTGCGGGGAGGAGGACACAGCACAGACACAATCAGATCAGCTCTGGCCCCAGGTGCCCCAACAGCAGAACCCCAAACCCTTCACTGAAGTCTGCAAGGCTCATGACTGACAAACGCAAACTCAGGCGAGTCTCTACATCTGGCCCAAGAACAGGTAAATGCAAAAGAGGAGGCTGGAAACAGAGGGGGGTAAAACTCAGGGGAAACAGGAAGCAGGTGAAGCAGGTATCGTGGCCGGTCAGGCTGACCCGGTAGGTCCAGGACTGCCCCAGGGTTAGCGCTGAGAAGCACACGAGCCAGTCCCCACTGTCCCCGCTACTTCCTGTCCCCAGCTAACTGCAACGGGTTGGTTGCAGTCACCCCACCTGGATGTCTTTGCCATGGGTCCAGGTGGGTTCATAGGATCAGGTGGCCTCTTTTTGGCAATGGCCCTGCTGGCAGTGAGGCTGAGATAAGCTGGCACTGCCAGGGGTTGCTTCATAGAACCGGAAAAAGATGCTACTACAAAGGATAGGACACCAAGTCCCAATGACCCAGTTCAGCTCCTGGGAGCAGTAAAGCCTGAAAGGAAAACCCAAACTGGAAAACTGACTCTTCAGTTATGGGAGCCGACAATTCTCTCCTCGGCTTTAATGGATTTGATTGAAGCAGGAGAGGACGCAGACCCCCGGGGAGCACACCGCTAAGTGTCCTGCCTTTCCCAGATTCCCAAGCTGCATTTCTGAGTTGGGAAGGTCTCTGGGGACAGAAGAGAAGGGAGGGGATGCAGTTCTGAAGCCCCTGCCAAATCCTCCCCTTTTGCCCCCAAAGGGACAACTGTCCCATTCCTACATGCCAGTCAGGGTGGAGAAGGGGAGGA